GGGGCTGCAGTGGCCGGGAGCGGCCACTGCACTCCAGTCTGGGCGACAGAGTGAGACTCCAACTCAAAAAAAAAGAAAAAGAAAAGAAAAGAAATTCAGAGGTTAAAGTGAACTATAAGCAAAGGATAAGTCAGTCATCTGTGCAATTTCCAAAGCAAACATAGAAATAAACATAAAAATATTTAGCCTTATTAGAACATGAGAAGATCACCTACCAGATAAAAAATATATATATATTTTTAAAAATGTATTTACAATTTGACCCTGACATCCCACTCCTAAAAATGTATTTTAAGGAAGAGAGAGAAAAGCAAGTGCATGCATGAACAGTATTCATTCACATCATTCATAATAGCAAAACGTAGGGAAACACACGTGTTAATTAGTCAGTCAATTAGGTGGCAACTGTTCAATGGAACACTCTGTAGCCCTTCAAAAGGATGAAGTGTATAAGGTTTATTCATACAGATACTCCTACATGCATATACATATACACGCTTGTATAAACACACACAGGGAGCAGTCAGGGCTTACACGGAAATGCTGTGGTTGTTTCTAGAGTGCTCTGTCAGCATAGCACAACCTCAGGGACTTTTGTTATTTCCCTCAGTTTTTTATTTTTATTTGATATCTGATTCCACATTCAGCATGTGTTATCTTTGTACACACGGAAATAAACTATAAAATGTTATTCTGTTCCATCTGTAACGAGCCTAGGAAGACAGGCGTGAACTGCATTCAGAGAGAACTGAGCTAGAGTCAGGGATCCCTTAGATTTTGCAAAGAACTCTGGGACCAGGAGCGCAGAGGGCTGAGACAAATCAGGTACAAGACACTCAAGGCAAGGAGGAAACACGGAGCGTCAGCAAGTCCCTTGAGCCGAGTAAACACGGCCTGCTGGCTTGAGATCATGTTTTAGAGCCAAAGAACTCCCCCAGAACATCTGTTCGATCCATGTCTCCAGTTTACAGTGGTCTCAGCAATTAAGTCTGCAGACCCACAACTAAAGGAGCCTGGGAGAAGTTCCAAAGGAAAGCCAAAAAAAAAAAAGTAGCTAAATGGCTGGAAAATGTATCATGCAAAAACAGCCTCATGAGGTTCTTCTCATGAGAGAGAAACAAACCAGAACTCATAAGGGCATTGGTGTTGGATTTCCTGTAAATCAGGGGCTACTGCTTAAGCAAAAGGCAATAATGTCTCATTTTACTGATATCATTTAAAGACCAAAACAAAGCTATGCTAATATGAAAGAATCATCTATGCATAAATGTTCAACAACAAGTCATAACCTGTCCAGAAGCGGTGGGCTCTGCTTCCAGGGATGCTGGGAGCGGGGTTGGTTGTGGTCTCTTAGATAGTTGGATATAGCTTTGCTCAGAGGAATGGGACAGCCCGCGAGGAATCTCAAGAGGCCTGCCTGAAATGCTGGGCTATGAAACAGACTGGGTGGGATGACAAGGCCTCAAGGTGTTTTTCTCAACTCATGGCCTTCATCCAGAAGGCTATGCATTCTAATAACAGCCCCAGTGCAGAAAAAACATGTAAAGAAATTTAGCACGACTTCAGAGGAAGATGTTAGAACTACCCAGGGCATGAGACACCACAAGGTATTCCATACAATGCTCTACTTGCATAGAGAACAGGGTAGGCAACAGTCACTCTGTGATGAGATGACGTAAAACAAATGCCAGAAACCGGGCAAGCAAGCAAAAATTTTTAAATTGTTATTAAAAAAAATGTACATAATTTTAGCCCACATGCCCTAGCAGTGAATGTCGGAACCGACAGCAAGAGACAGAAATAATGAAGATGGGCCAGACATGATGGCTCACACCTGTAATCCCAGCACTTTGGGAGGCCTAGATTAGAGGATCACTTGAGTCTAGGAGTTTGAGACCAACCTGGGCAACATAGTGAGTCATCTCTACAAAAAATTAGTCGGGCATGGGATGTGTTCCTGTGGTTCCAGCTGCTCAGGATGTTAGCTCATGTCACTGCATTTCAACCTGAGTGACAGAGTGAGACAGAGAGAGAGGAGAGAGAGGAGAGAGGAGACAAAGGAAAGAGGAGAAAGAGAAAGAGAAAGAGAGAGAGAGAGACAAAGAGAAGAAAGAAGGAAGGAGGGAGGGAGGGAGGAAAGAATTATAGCACAGTGCTTCCCAATCCAGTGGGTAAGGACAAGAGCAGCAAGATCTTTCCTTGGCCGCACCACATGTGGAAACAGGGGTCATTCACACAGATGTGCTCAGCACACAGCCAACAGGCATCACAAAACAACACTGAAATTCACATGTGGACAGCCCCACCTGGGGCAGGCCCAGGGTACACAATGCAGGGAGCCTTGAAGCCATCAGTGAGGTGAGAAAGGTACCTGTCCTGCTACGCACCTGTCTTCAAGCAGAGGTCATCGAAGTCGTGGCAGCAGCTGGTGTAGCTCTTACACAAGTTGTCACACCGACAGTCAGGGGGTCCCACATCCTGGAGTTCAAAGCACCTGCCCTTGCAAGATCCAGAAATGTTGGTCCAGGGGGAATCGGACAGCACTGTGGGGAGACAAGAGGCAGAGGCGAGAGATGGAAGGTGGCCATGTTGCTGGGGGGGGGTGTAGCAGGCCAGCTGTGTCACCAGAGGGGTGGCAGGTGAGCTGTGCCATGGGCTGTAGAAGGCACAGGGGAAACTGGCCTGGCTCCTGTCCCCCCAGGTCCAGCAGGCTGCTGAGCATCCTCTGCCTCAGCTTGTTCGTCTGCAGAGCAAGGGAATTCGTGGACACAGCTCCATGTTAAAACAAAAACTAAAGGAAACCACCAGTATGGAACACGCAGCAGACATCAGGCACATAGAGAAGCCAGTGTCAGCCTTGGTGTGATGGCCATTTGTAAGTATTATGACCACTAGTCAGAGAAGTAGGGGCCCCTGGATGCACATGATGCCGACAAAACCCATGCTGTGACCTGCTCACAGAGACGAGGACTCGCTTTCCCTTCACAAAGATTCAAACCTTTGTAGAAGGAAAACCAAGCGCAAATGTTCCAAGAACAGACTATGTGTGACTGGAATAGAAGACTTTACCATCCCAGCTGGTGTCACACAAACACAAATACTGCAATCTCAGTTTGTCGAAAACAAATCCTGTCATTATTTTCATATGATATAATTGTGTATCTATGAATCCCAAGAAAACCACTAAAATTTGGGGGAAAAAAGAATTCAGTGAGATGAAAAGTTCACAAATTTGTAATATAAGCAATGAAGATTTTAGGATTAAGTGGAAGTCCCATTCACAATAGTACCTAAACAATAAAATAGCTAGGTATAAATTAAATAATATGTGTACTGAACCCACACAGAGAACACATTAAAGCTCTACAAAAAAAAATTTAAAAGACCTATCTTAATGGGAAGACATACTATCTTAAAGATAAAAATATCAATATTTTAACAAATATTAATTCTTCCTAAGTAAAACTAAAGGTTCAATTACTAAGGTAATCACAACAAAAAAATCCAAAGTTCATAAAACTGAAAGAATATTAAAAGTTTAACTTAAAATGAACATAGAAAAACAAAAAGACACTGAAAAGAAAAAATAATTCCTATAGACTAGATAGCAAATCATATTCTGAAGTCAAACAATCAAAATAGTTTAGTACTAGAAAACAAGTAAATGAGTGTTGTGGATGAGGCCTAGAAATACAACTAAATACATGAGAACTTAAAACAAAAGTAACATTTGAAGTCAGAAGAAGAAAGAAGGGTTAACCAGTAAGCAGTGACTAGAAAAAATTAAACTGAATTCTCAGCCGGGTTCGGTGGCTCAGCCTGTAATCCCGCGCCTTTGGGAGGCTGAGGTGGATTGCCTGAGCCCGCGGGTTCGAGACCCGCCTGGGCAGCAAGACCTCATCTCTACAATAAATCAAAAAAATCAGCCGGGCATGATAGCGCATGCCTGTAATCCCAGCTACTTGGAAAGCTGAGGCAGAAGGATCGCCAGAGCCCAGCAGGTCGAGGTTGCAGTGGCCGGGAGCGGCCACTGCACTCCAGTCTGGGCGACAGAGTGAAACTCAAACTCAAATAAAAAACACACAAAAAAATAAACTGGATTCTCTACCCAGTATACAAAATAATTTCTGACAAATAGAAAATATAAACAGTGCCATACCTGTTTCTAGGAATGCAAATTTTTATAAAATAAAAAACAACTTAGAAATATCTATCAACATTTTTAGATGTTTATAAATCTCTCACCCAAAAACTTCACTACTAAGAATTTGTCATTTATATATATTTGCAAAAGTTTGCCAACATATATATATATATACAAAAAATGTCAGTTGCTCACTGCAGTCTCTCTGTAATGTAGGAAAGAATGCTAAAATCAACCAAAGTTGTTTTTTCCATCAAGAAAGAAAAAAAATCACTATATTCATAATTGGAATACCCCCAACCCTTACAAAGAGTGAGTTGGGGCTGGGTGCGGTGGCGCATGCCTCTAACCCCAGCACTATTGGAGGCCAGGGTAAGAGGATTGCCTGAGCCCAGGGATTCAAGACTAGCCCGGGCAACTTGATGAGACCTTGTCTCTACACTAAATAAAAAAAAATTAGCTTGGCATGATGGCACGCACTTGTAGTTCCAGTTTCTTGGAAGGCTGAGGCGGAAGGATCACCTGAGCCCAGCAGGTTGAGGCTGCAGTGGCTGTGAAGGTGCCATTGCACTCCAGCCTGGGTGACAGAGAGAGACTCCAACTCAAAAAAAAAAAAAAAAAAAGAATGAGTCGGATCTGTGTAGGCTGATACAGAAAGATCCACAAAATATGTAAATAAGGTTTTTAAAGACCAGCTACAGTGTTACGGTGTTAAATGTTATATAGTAGATTAAAAAATAGAAACAAAGAGAGCAATAAAAACAGAAACAAAGACAGACATCAAAGCTGGGCTCGGTGGCTCAGCCTGTAATCCCGTGCCTTTGGGAGGCTGAGGTGAGTGGATTGCCTGAGCCCGCGGGTTCGAGACCCACCTGGGCAGCAAGACTTCATCTCCACAATAAATCAAAAAATCAGCTGGGCATGGTAGCTCATGCCTGTAATTCCAGCTACTCGGAAGGCTGAGGCGGAAGGAT